AAAATAGTTAAATTTTTTTTAAGGCTGCTTTCTTAGCTAATTAGATTTTATTAATTTATTATTATGAAATTACTATAGTAGTAATCTTTTAGAATTTTATAGTTATATGATGAATATATAACAAGCTACATATACAACTTTAGTTATTATCTAATTTAAGTAGTTCTCTATATAGATAATAGACTATTTGTTAGTTCTATACTATGCTGCTATATCTGCAACTTGTCTGTGAGTTATCTATTTAAACACTCTAATTATTAACTCTTTTTCTTATCTCAAACTAATATCACAACTATATCTGATTACTTAAGCTAGCTAACTTGCTGATAGATCTGTTTACTATATAATTTAGATCTTTTTAGAATATATATTATTTAATATATTATTAATATACAGAGCTTTAGTTAACTTCAGAAGCAATTTTTATTAAAATAGTTATATGCTCATTTTATAGATTTATCTGAATTAGATTTTTGTTATATTCATATAACTTAGTTTCTACTATAGCTCTTTACTAGTTTTGTATATTCTATCTCTTAGACTATTTTATAAAGTAGATTCTTCTAATCTAGTTAGCTAACAAGTTAAGTTGATATTGCTTTACTCATATCTAATTTGATCTATATCTTTTTTGGTAATAGTTTCTTTTTCAAATTAAGTATTTAGCTAGTATGACTATTAAAAGCTATACTACTTCATTAATTCAAGATTTTTATTATACAGGTTTTCTGCTTATAGATTCTATTAAGATTTATTTATACAATATTATATCATATTTTCAATATCTGAATAATATTAATGCAATATGATTTACAAAGTTACAATTCTGGAAACAAACAAAGTTTACTATAAGTTAGATACAAAGTTCTGAATAATTATTCAAATTTGTTGACAGTAGAATTTGAACCCTAGACCTCTTGTATAATAGTCTGGTAACCTAACTACTATACTAAGATTACTAGACAAAATAGCTAAATTAAAAATAGAATTAATAATAATAAATATATATATTTTTAAAAATTAAAAATAGTAAAACTTTAATTTTAGATTTTTAGTAAGATTTATAATTAAATTACAAATCTTATATATAAGACAAATTTTGTATTAGGTCTAGTGACTTAGTATAGTAGTTAGGTTATTGGACCACTATGCAATAGGTCTGGAGTTCAAATCCCATTATTGATAAATTTGAATAATTTCTCAGACCTTATGATATGTTACAGTAAACCTTGTCTGTTTCTGGAGGTATACTTCTATAAATTAAATTGTATAAATTAATTAAAACTTGGAAGTATAACATAATGTTATATAAAATCTTGATAGAATATATAAGCAGAGAATCATATAGTACAAATCCCAAGTTAGTGAAGTAGTATAGCCTTCTGACAAGACTATATTAGCTAAAGTCTGATTAGAGAAGAAAACTCGGTCTAATAAAGGTAGAAGGTTTCAAGATCTCTAAGTAAGGAGTAACTGAAACTAGCTAAACACTGAAAAAAGACTAGGTTAACTGACTAGTGGAAGACTATAGTGGAACCTAGAGTTGTATATACATCTACAAAGGTCTAAGCTAGATAAATTCGTAAAATAGGTACAGACTACTCTAGTAGATTTGCTTTAAGATTAACTAGCTTTGCAATACTAGCAATGCATCTGATATAATATATCCTAAGAGGATCTAAACTATTCTGAATAAATAGATTTGTAATAAGCTAGTTAGCTTAAGCAATTAAGTGTTGCAATAATGTTAGGTTGGATCTAAATGAGTTAATGAATAGAGTATTTAAATAGGTAACTCATAGGTAGGTTACAGGTATAGTAGCATAGTATAGAACTAATCGAGTAGTCTAACACTTGTGTAGCAGACTACTTTAAATAGACAATGACTAAAGTTGTACATGTGACTTGTTGTACACTTTTTATATAATTACAAACAGTAGGGATTATTAATATATAATCCCGTTGACAACTCTAATAAAATTTCTTCAGTAATGTAAGCCACCTTAACAACAAAAAAAAAACAAATTTTGTACTAAATTAATAAAACAAGTATAATTCATATAACAATTATAATTTTATATTAATTTAACAAATATTTATATAACAGAAAATTAAAAGTTTTTTTTAAAATAAAAAAAAAACTTATAAACATTTTTAAAAACTATTTTAGCTTTTAGAAAACTTAATTTTTATGCTAAAAAAATTATTTAGAGCTTATTACAAAATAAAAATTGAATTTACATAATATTATATAAAAATTCAAAAAAAATTTTGCAATAAATAAAAAATTATATAATTTTGAGACAAACACAATTAAGGAAAAAATATATATTTATAATTTTGACTTTGTTAAATTACATCTATAGTATATTCATTTAGTTATATAAACAACTAATTATAGGATTTATTTAACCAAAAGAAGGTTTTATCACTTAAGTTTTATATATACAAATCTTACTAAACTTAACTCTAACACTAATTTCTAAACTTTAAATTACTTTTTAAAAAAGGTTATAATAAAAATTCTTATATCTCAGGAAAATTAATTAAGAACTAATTTTAAAATATAAATATTAATACCTCATAATTAACAAAACAATTTAATAATTTATAGCTATTAAAACTAGAATAGCTTGCTTTACAATTTTGTTTCTCATTGTACACTAGCTTGAATTTCTGAATAATATAGAAAAGCCATAATTTTTGATAATTTTAATGATTTACTGATTATACTCTTCAAGCAATTAGCTTTTAGTTTTAATTTACAAATCAAAATAAATCATTTCAGAGTCTGGGATATTGGGTTGGGGCATGGAAAATTCTTTGGGCATGCTTAGGAGGGCATGTCTTTCTGTACCCTAGGCATGCCTTTTCTAGATTTCATAAATGATTAACCTAACTTATGTCAAATAAACTAAGATAATTAGCCAATTAAATCAACGAAACTTTATATATAAGGTTTTTCAATATAAAAAAGTAGGAGCATGCTTAGAGATGAGCAAATCGAAGATTTTTTGAAAATACTACTGTCATGATTCCTTTATGATACATTTCCCAAGACTTAGATGATTACAATTTCTTTTATTTTTTTTTTATTTATTTTTGTTGTTTGTTTGTTAGCTACAATAGTAAGAACAGTATGCGAGATATATCTGATAAATATATCCATATAGAGTAGAAACTGGTTATTGTTAGTATTATTGTAGGTCTGTTGTTTAACAAATTGGATAACCAGTAGAGGACAGATTGTTTATGGGAGGGCTTTCTTGAGTAAATTGTTAAAAGACTGAGGTCTAAATTGTATATAACTATCAGAGGAAGAGAAAATAAACATTGCAGACTAGGTTGTAGGTAGAATTGATGCTATATTGTAATTACTTATTGTAGAAAGAAAAAAATATATTTAAAGGTGTCTTTTTCGCCTTAATAAAATTTCTTTAGACTTCGATGTCTTAAATATAAGAAAGATATTAGGAATCGAATTCTCAAGTGTTAAAATTGAATGTTTATTGAATAATTGATTTTCTTTTTATTATTTCTTTAAATTTTATTTGATAACTTTTTACCTCATAAATTATTCAATTCATATCAAATTATATTTTTTTATATAACTTAAAACCCCGTACCCTGATTAAATTAAATAGATCACTGATGCAATTATTACACTGATTATCTTTGTCATCATTACTTAAGTGTTATTGATATATTTTAAGTGATTAAACTCTGATTCAATATAAAGTCTGTCATATCACATGAACAAGCCACCAACCTGATATCTCTATAAGTAATCATGTTATTTAAAGACTTTATTTCTGAACATTTGATACATAAAATAATCTTTAGGTTAACTATTGGAGTTAAACTCAGCACAATTGTATAACGCTCTCCCAAAACAATAGTAATATTTGGTGCTGATTGTGTAGAAGTTTTGAATAAAGAATCTTTTATTACTATAAAAACTTATCTAGATAATCATAGCCCAATATCTGATGCATACTTTGGCTAACCAAATTGCTGCATTAATGCAACAAATGCAAGCAGCACCAGCAGTTCAGGTTAATGTTCTAGAAAATAACTGAGAGCTCAGTACTATACTGTATCTGGAATTTTATAGTAGAGACCAAGACCTGATATTGTTGTTAGAGGATGTAGAAAAAGCATTCGAGGTGAATCTCATCTGAGATGATAGAAAGATAGGTATTTATTCCTAAATTAAAAAGACCTGCAGCCACCTAGTGGGTTACAAGAAGAACTCAGAACCTATTGATAGATAGGTGGTATGATTCTAACATTCCTCAACAAAGTTTTACAGCTAACTTTGTTGCTAAGTTTTGAACTCTAGCCTTAGAAGCTAAGTAGTATGCACAACTAATCTAAAGTAAACAGTTGCTCGAAGAAAGCGTAGACGATTACCACATATTAATAGAGGAAATGCTCAGATGGGTAGAAGCTAGTAGGCATTAGTATCTAGACTCAGCAAAAGCCCAGATATTTATTAATAGGCTTCGTTCAGAACTTTTTATGATGGTATCCTCCTTAACCTCTAATACTTTAGAAGATACTTATATGAGTGCAAAAGCTTTCGAGAATGCTTATAAGCATAATTCTACTTATGCTACGTACTTTGCCCAACCTCTTAACTACCCTCCGTATGGGCTACTAGGCATAACCACAACTACTTCAATAACTAATCCAACTATGAACGAAATAGCTGAAGCTCTAAAAAGCTTAACGGATACAATAAATAAAATAATGGTCCAAATACAAGACCAAAAGAAACTATCCCAACCTTAGCCTATTGGTGCTAGCACTAATAACAACTCATAGGTGTATGTTACTCATGTGGACAACCCAGTCACATTAGTCATCAATATTCAAATCAGCAACTACTTGTTATTAACTAAGGACCCCAGGTACAAAACAATACTACTACCACAAACGCCAATAGAACTATCTCACAAGAAACCCTTCAAACCCTATTAGCCCTAATTAATAATAATATGCCAGTAAATAACCAAAATAATCAATTATCATATCTTGGTTTTAACGAAAGAGACAAAACTTTGTTTCTTCCAGCTGAAAGGAATAGACAACAAAAGCCTATTACCGAAACCGGGATACTTCAGAAAAAGAATGGTGTAACGAACTAAGATAACTCAACAAGCCTAATAGAAACTGAAGTAGTGTTAATACTGGATATTGATGATGAAATGGAAGATGATAAAGATAGGAATGATATTCAAGACCAAGATGTACAAATAGAAATTATCAAAAAGAATGAACCTAAAGAAAGCATTAAAAAGAATAACGAAAAAAGTAAAAAGCCTACTGTACCCCAGCACAAAAATATTGAAGAAGGAATGTCTCAGATTTCTTCTTTAGTAATTCCATACTCTATCATAGCAGATATGAGGGATAAAATAGCTAATATTACATTTAGACAACTCTTAAGAGTTGTACTAACTATGCGCCAAGAATTGACCTGGTCACTGCAAAAGAAAAAAATTATTACAAGAAAGAAAGCTCAAGGAAATGCAAACACCCAACCTTCTTTAAAGTCCATGGCTTTGTATTATGATGCTAAGATTCAAGATAGAATAATTCCCTTAATCGTCAATAGCGGGTCCTCAGGAAGTATTGTTTCTTCTCACCTGCTTAACGATCTGAGAATAAGAATTGAGAGACTATCAGTAGTAAATATGATAAATATTTACAGAGAGAGTAAATGCGCTATTGGGAAATCTCTGATTTCCCTTTCTGTATAGGAGATATAGAAATCCCTATTGACATCATAGTTACAGATACCAATTCTTACTGTGCGATTGTTGGAAATGACTGGTTGGCTAAAGTAAATACCACCATTAATTGGAACACCTCAGAAATGACTCTGGTTTGGAATGGGAAAGAAATTATTGTTCCAATAGAATTTAGAAAGATGAGTAAAGACTAGTTAGAAAAGGAGCATGTGTCGTGGTTAAAGACCTAGAAGAAGAAAAAAACGAAAGTGAAAAATCAGATGACGAATTTGAAGAAGCAGAACTAGAGGAACAAATATACACGTATTCTGTGATTGAAGAAGAAAATTCTGAAGAAAACAATTGGACAGAAGATGAGGAAAATAGGAAAAAGAACAACAAAGAAATAAAGAAAGAAAAACATATCATGGAAAAAGATATTAGCCTCATACCTAAAGAAGAAAAGATTAAAGAACTGATTTCAGACCTTTTCAATTATTATTATGAAAAAGAGGCTCAAATCGGGATTAAATATAAAGTGGGTGAATTAGAAAAAGACTAAAGAAGCAAGCTATCTAAACTATTAGATAGTAATACTAACCTTTACACCCAAGACCTTCATGAGTTAGGAAGAATGAGTATCATTCAGCATCAAATTCTGACTAGAGACGGTTGGCCTATTAGGCAACATCCATATCAATACTCCCCAGCAGAAAAAGAATTTCTAAAAAAAGAAATTGAAATAATGTTAAAAGAAAATATAATTAGAGTCTCCTCCAGTCCTTGGACATCCTCTGTGGTCTTGGTAAGGCAAAGAGCTAGGAAAATATAGTTTTGCATTAACTATCGAAAGTTGAATACTATCACCATTTGGGATAACTACTCTTTACCCTGAGTAGATGAACTTTTAGACACCCTTAATAGGTCATCCTAGTTTTCTTCCTTAGACTTAGCCAGTAGGTACTGGCAAGTCGAGATGTCTGAATCAGATAAAGCAAAAACAGCCTTTATTTCTCCCTATAGTATTTTCGAATTCAATGTAATACCTTTCGGCCTTATAAATACTTTAGCTACCTTTTAAAGGTTGATAGATCAAATTTTTAATGATATAATCGGAAGGTTTGTGGTCATCTATTTTGATAACCTTAATGTATTTTCAAAAACCTACGAAGAACATTTAGACCACTTAAAGGAGGTTTTTAAAAGGTTAACAAAAGCAGGCTTGAAGATTAAGCCTCAAAAATGTTATTTCGCCAAGAAAGAACTCAAATTCTTGGGATACGTTGTAAGCACCAAGGGGATTTCTACTGATTTAAAAAAGGTTCAAGCTGTCCAGGAATTTTCTATATCTAAAAATATTAAATAGCTTTGTGGGTTTTTGGAACTAGTTTCATAATATAGGTGTTTCATCCCTAAATTTACCAACATTGCTGCACCTCTCAATTATCTATTAAGAAAGAATATTAGATATTGTTAGACCTCTAAACACCAGGAAGCCTTCAAGATGCTTAATGAAAAACTTGTGACTGCTCTAATCCTGGCTTATTCAGATTTCTCAAGGCCTTTTATTCTTCTTACAGATGCCTCTGATATAGCCTTAGAGGCGATTCTCTCACAAACAGACTTAGAAAAAAGAGAAAGGGTAGTGGCATATGCAAGTCGTTCCTTAACTCTAGCTAAAAAGAATTATTTGGTTACAGAAAAGGAATGTCTTGCTATTGTATGGGCTATTTCCTACTTTCAGCCTTACCTCTATGGAGCCTATTTTACTCTCTACACTAATCATTCTGTATTAATGTCACTATTCTCTCACTGATTACTCCAAAACCGACTAGTCAGATGGATTCTGATCTTGCAGGAGTATACTTTTATGACCATCCATAAGGCAGAAAAACAATATTTAAACGCTGATAGTTTATCTCGAATTTAGAGAAAGAACTCCCCAAAATACTAAATACCTATTTATACATAACGATACTGATTTCAGATAACCCTTATTGATTAATGGACTTTCATGAATACAGAGACCTATAAAATTTATACAGAATACCTTAGCAGGTCTAAGGTGCTGACTAATTATACTGAACAAACATTAAAACATAAGACCCGTTATTACCTTATAAAAGATAGACTATTGTATAAGTCCAATCTATGTGACTCTCAGAGATCCCTAAGAGTGTTGAAACCCCACGAGATAGAACCTATATTATATACCATGCACTCAGACCCTTTATCTAGACATTTCGGAAAAGAATCTACTTACTAAAAAGTAATAGTTCAGTATTACTGGCCTCAAATGAGAACTGATGTTAAGAAATATGTTGAAGCCTATGATACATATCAAAAGAGAGAACGACCCCAGACCTATAAACCTCTTCACCCAATAAGGATTAGTTAACCCTTTGACTGGTTGGATATAGATATTGTCAGACCACTCTTAGTAACCGAAAAGGACATAGGTATATTGTAATAGCCACAGAATACCTTACTAAATAGCCAAAAGCATGTGCTCTTGAAAAAGCTGATGCTGAATCTGTTGCCTTATTTATTTTTGAGGATATTATATATAGACATAGGAGCCTACATGAGTTACTTTCAGACCAAGGAACTCACTTTTGCAATAAACTTGTGAGCTCCCTTTGTAATAAAATGAAGGTTTATCATAGAACCTCCTCGGCTTACTACTCCCAGACTAATAGGTTGGTAGAATAGTTTAATAGAACATTGTACAAAGTCTTAGTCAGATACATAAACCAGTATGGTAGAAATTGGGATACCTATATTCCTGTAGCATTGTTTGCCTATAGAACGACATGTCACCATACTACAAGATATGAGCCGTTGTTCTTAATGTATAGTAGGGATGCCATTCTTCTCGTAGAAACTATTGTTTCTACTTATCTAGTAGAAATGATCACTGAAGACAGGTTACAGAATAATCTTTTACAACGAATAGAAGCAATAATCAGAACCCTAGAAGATAGCTGAAGTCATGCAAAAGATAATGTTAGCAAAGCCCAAAACAAACAAAAGGCTTATCATGATCGAAAGTATAACCTTGAGACCTACCAGATTGGAGACAAGGTCTTGCTATATAAGTCCTTATTAGAAACATCCTATAGCACCAAATTTGAGCAAAAATTCATAGGCCTGTATTATGTTCATAATGTTTGTAGAAATAGATCTTATAAACTACGAACAATAAACACAAATCTAAGTGATAAGCTGCTAAAAATTGAAAGAGTCCTAAAGAAACAAATACATGGAAACTGGTTAAAAAAGTATATATCACACCCTAGTGATGTTAATTTCTAACACTTATAAAAGTGGGGAATGTTGACCTTGGATAAAACTATAATCAATATGGCTAGGCAATTGGAAGTCAACACCCAACTACTTAAAAACATTTTTAAGATAAGAAAAATGTTTAAAGATACCAACGTAGCTGAAATCTATATTCTAACTGATAAGCTTATCTTTTTCAATTTGAAAGGAGAGCTAGTTTCTTTAGCCTTTTCTTCAGATATCACAATGAATCCTTTTGTGCGGACTCTAGACTTGTATCTACGAGATCTCAAGCAGGTAACAATTTCAATCTGGTTACCTGAAATAGTTGAAGGAAATACGTAGAGTGAAAAGTTTAAGTTTATCTGTGAACAGATAGATTTGGGTTTGAATGACCAAGTTATCTTGCTCTAGTATTATTATTATCTTGGTGAAAACCTGGAAGAAGTGGCCTGAAACACTATAGCTAGAGGAGAACTAAAGAAAAAGTTCTCCTACAGCAAGGAAAAAGTAGTCTGGAGGGTAGCTTCCAGGGCCTATCATCTATATCATGAAAGAGAGTTCCATAACCTCTTAACAAATTGTTCTATAACAACCAATGCTCTTTATCGTATGACAGAAGAAGATTTTTCTACTCTAATGGTAGAAGCTATTAGGATTCGTAGTGAAGAGCTCTCAGAATTTCTTGAAGCCCCAGAATCCTTCGCAGGAGCTCAGGATTAAGGAGGGGAGTATGTCACGATTCCCTCATAACACATTTCCTGAGACTTAGATGGTTACGATTTCTTTTATTTTTTTTTTATTTATTTTTGTTGTTTGTTTGTTAGCTACAATAGTAAGAACAGTATGCGAGATATATCTGATAAATATATCCATATAGAGTAGAAACTGGTTATTGTTGGTGTCGTTGTAGGTCTGTTGTCCAACAAATTGGATAACCAGTAGAGGACGGATTGTTTATGGGGGGGCTTGAGTAAATTGTTAAAAGACCGAGATCTAAATTGTATATAACTATCGGAGGAAGAGAAAATAAACATTGCAGTCTAGGTTGTAGGTAGAATTGACGCTATATTGTAATTACTTATTGTAGAAAGAAAAAAATGTATTTAAAGGTGTCTTTTTCGCCTTAATAAAATTTCTTTAGACCTCGATGTCTTGAATATAAGAAAGATATTAGGAATCGAATTCTCAAGTGTTGAAATTGAATGTTTATTGAATAATTGATTTTCTTTTTATTATTTCTTTAAATTTTATTTGATAACTTTTTACCTCGTTAATTATTCGATTCATATCGAATTACATTTTTTTATATAACTTAAAACCCCGTACCCCGATTAAATTAAATAGATCACTGACGCAATTATTACACTGATTACCTTTGTCATCATTACTTAAGTGTTATCGATACATTTTAAGTGATTAAACCCCGATTCAATATAAAGTCTGTCATATCATGTGAACAAGCCACCAACCTGATATCTCTATAAGCAATCGTGTTATTTAAAGACTTTATTTCCGAACATTTGATACATAAAATAATCTTTAGGTTAACTATTGGAGTTAAACTCGGCACAATTGTATAACGCTCTCCCAAAACAATAGTAACACTACGCAGGCTGCGCAGCCTGCACGGGCCTGCGCAGCCTTCAGGGGCCTGCATTATGGATAATGCGAGCCAAAATTTCTAAATTTCGAAGGTCTACGGTATATTCCAGCCTTCCGGCCCATTCATAGCATGCCTTTTAGTCAAAGGGCATGCCCCTAAGGCATGCCTTAGGACACCGTGTCCCCAACCCTACTGGGATAGCTTGCAAAGCGCTAGGTTACGGGTTACGCAAGATTCAGTGGCTTCGGATTTGGACAAATCGAAACTCCAAATGGCAACACTAATGGTAACATTATAATAGAAAATTTTAAGAAGTCGTATTTATTTGTGCAAATATTTATTATTGACTTCATTATTTAGTGTTGCATAACAATATTGTCGAAAACATAAGCGAAGTTAGGAAGGTTAACAATAAGTAGGTCATAATATGTTCTAGTTAAGGTGTTTAGAAGTAGACTTTGTGTAATATTATTGAGTATGTTTATTTACTCAATGACCCAGTAAGTTATCAATTATTAATTAAATTATTTACTTATTTTGTATTCCGATTAATGGCATGAATAAATTGATGTACCCTAGGTTTAACTTGACGTGTGTACAGTTACACCTGAAAATAATAAATCATTAATTATAAAGTATAAATTGTCATACGTATGAGGAAAAACGTCTATTTTTTTATTTGTTTAATTATGTGCGAAAAGAAAAGGACCACATATAAATAATATTACTATTTTTGGCACAATAATAAAGAATTATTTATTACGTATAAAGTAAATTTACAATAATAATATGATAAATTCTAACCATTTTTAAAAGTTTGAAGACGTCAATCGAAATGCAAATGGAAAAAATTTCAAGAGACGTACGTACTGTACGTATGCATGCATTAAGGTTGTGGGCACGGTGTCCCAGGGCATGCCTTTTTTAAAAAAATTTTATATGTAAAAAAGTGTCGTACAAAAAATTTTGAGGGCATGCCTATAGAGCATGCCTTTAAATCAGAAAAACCAGATGCATGCCCAAAAATTTTCCCGTGCCCACAACCTTAGCATGCATGCATAATAATTTTAGGCATAGGCACAAAGTGCCTAGAATTTCTCACATCTAGTCAGATATTTTTACTCTGCCAGAGTCATTATACCAAATATAACTTCGTGCTCTGCTTAAACCAGACACTTCGTATCTGTGAGACAAAAATGACATATTTTTGCGCCCATGAGTATAGACGCAGACACTACACAGGTAGTGCTAAGCTAGATTGAGAAAGCGATATTTATTATGCAAAAAATT